TCAAGTTTGCATCAAAACTCAACATCTGCAGCCTACAGCGGCATCTATAAGGGACGAGGTTACTAAGCAACCGCTGGCAGATACATGCAGACCAGGAGCCTGTTTGATGCAAAGTTGGCGATTATTATATACGACTAGTTTCATTAGAAAAAAAAATCCTATCTAGACGCTTCGTGACCCACGTCTTTGTTTAAGGAAAAAGAAAGAAAGAAAGGCAGCTCGCATGAGATATAAATAGACTCCTGGTCTTTTTCTGTGACTGGATCGTGGATCTATACTTATGCACCACTTACACACACCACTGCTGCAGTTTCGTTGATTATAGCGGACGCTCAGTGCCGCAGCATTTACTCTGCAAACGGGCCACATGTGTCGTTAAAGGATAAGTCACTTTTTTTTGTTGTTTTTTTACGTCACCAAGCGGGCTGTTTGTCTGTAACGTACATCCATGTGTGCATTTGGACAAAGAAGCAGTTTGAAAACAAGCTCATACTTCAGTATCGACCACCAAATGTCTGCAGCAATCCCTCGCTCCTCAGGAAGACTGCTGCTCTGGCTGGTCAATTTTGAGCAGTACTTTTTTTCTTTCTCTTCACTCAAGTCACCTTTGTGCCGCTGATTGTATTCCCGACGACAACTTCACAAGTCGGTGTCGACCGCTGCTCGCCACAAAGAGAACTAAAATAGGCTGTCAGGCTACACGGTGAGTGCGGAGGAAAGGGGGGCACGGCGGCCGCGGCCAGAAAGAGTAGCGGCGGTGTTTATCTTGAACTACTTAGCTCCCTGGCTGTGAGTCAAATGTGGAGAGAGACGTTGGGAGGTACTGGAGGCCTTCATTAAATGCAGCTCAGGCCCTGGTGAAACCCTGGTTAATGTCCCTATCATCTCTGGAGTGGTCCGGCGTCGAGCCCTCTGTCCAAATGACTCATGTTTAATGCATCTCTGCAGTCCTTGTCATTTAACCTCACCTCTGGAGGTTGCGGGTCGGGGTGGCACGGCGACGGCTCCCACAAGACCCACGAGGGCCGAAGCGCCGTTATTCCTCGCCGGCGCCTCCGTTTGCTGAACACGGGGCGAGCTGCTCCGTCTCTGGCTTATTGCTGCGTAATCTCACCGCCTCCCCAACAACATCACACCGCGTGAACCCGAACTGGAGGGCGGTCCGGGTTGGATACGAGGCTCTCTGAACCACTTTGTTGCTCCGCTGCTCAACGCTGTGCCCACCGACGTAGCTTTGCTGTGTTGTGCTTTTGGTTAAAAAAAACTAAATGAAAAAAAAGCTTCTCCGGTCAGATTGAAGGCTGTCAAACTCAATCAGTCTTTGTCAAGCAGAGTGAGCGTTTGGTTGGAACTGACAGGATCTGAGGTTTCCTAAAAATTGTGTTCAGGTTGCGTGACTTTGAATTTGTCAAGCTCATTAAACGCTAAACTGTTTGGCAATTAATTCACTCGCTCGGAATTAGTCGGAGTTCTGTTTTGGACACTGAGGCCTTCAAACCTCTGAACTTTGAGCGGTTTCTGAGCATTTTAGCTCACAGTGGATCCATTCTTCACCGCGGTATGAAGTCCTGCAGCTCTTTGGAAACGACACGACCAGGACTAGACGTAGAGCGAACCAAAGAAGTCGCTAGGATGCAACAAATCCTTAAAAAAGTAGAATTCCTTCATTTTCTTTAATGATTTATTTCACATAAATTGCAAAAACCTGCAACATGCACAACGTTTCCCCAAAAAGCAGTGACTCTACCGCTGCATACACTAAAGATATTTCACTGTTTACATCTTTAATTTGTTCTGCACGTGTCTCCTGTCTGGAAACACTGCCTGCAGTTCAGCCAAAAAGAATTTTTGACAAGTGATTGATGATCCTGGGCAAGTCACTCATGGCTTTGTGGTTGCCATGATAAGTGCAGAATTATTTGTTTTTTACAGAATCTGGATCGTGTGAAGGGTTTATTTTTGGCTGATTTTTAAATGAGACACGATTTTGAGGAATTATCTCAATTTTATTGGTAATTTAAGGACCTCAGAAATGTGCAGGATGACACAGTCTTAACACTATAAACCATAAAAATGAAAAGTTCAGTGTCTTTGATCATTTATTTTACAGCATTTTGTTCACAGGTGTGACCATCACTGGAACAAACGACATTTTTAAACGTGGTTTCCATAAACACAGCCTGCAGTTCAGCCAAAAAGAATTTTTGACAAGTGATTGATGATCCTGCCCAAGTCACTCATGGCTTTGTGGTTGCCATGATAAGTGCAGAATTATTTATTTTTTACAGAATCTGGATAGCATGAAGGGTTTATTTTTGGCAGATTTTTAAATGAAACACGATTTTGAGGAATTATCTCAGTTTTATTGGTAATTTAGGGACCTCAGAAATGTGCAGGATGACACAGTCTTCACACTATAAACCATAAAAATGAAAAGTTCAGTGTCTTTGATCATTTATTTTACAGCATTTTGCACACAGGTGTGACCATCACTGGAACAAACGACATTTTTAAACGTGGTTTCCATAAACACAGCCTGCAGTTCATCCAAAAAGTCAACAAAGAGCCTCATTTATTTTTTATTTTTTGGCACAAAAAGGTTTATTATTATTAACCTTTTAAAATGAGACAAGATGAATAAAGTGACCTCGAAGGAATATCCTGATTCTACGTTTGATGAAGCTTCCAGCCGGAGAGTTGAAAACGATAAATGTCATCGTTCCGGTACATTTTTTAAGAATATCCCACGCTTTGAAAGAGGAGCTGCTGAGGTTCGGGGGGTTAGCGCTGCACATTTACATGTCCAGGGAATGAATACCGACTCACCGCTCCCCACAAACAAGGCTGTGTAACAGGATAAACGGCTGAAATTCTTCTCTTTGTTGCACTTGATCTTCACGCCGCGTTTCCCTCTGATTCTTCCTGCTTACATGCAAAGGCGGCCTCCCTCCCTCGTCTTCTTCTTCTTCTTCTCCCCGCGCTCCTCCTCGCTCGCACTCCCACTCAATCGCTGCCTCCTCGCTTTCTCCGCTCTGGATAATGGTAATTAGAATATCACCATGATTGAAATTTGGCAAAAGTTGAAGAGGAAATAGGTTTTCTAATCAAAAGCTGCCTCGTAGCTGGAATCCTGATGCTTACTTGGCTGAGGAACGTTCCTCGACGATGGGGGCCTAAGCGGCGGATGCCAGGCTGCACAGCGACGGCCAACTGCGCTCCTTCCTTTTTACCCGCAATCTTGGATTTGGTACAGACGGTTGATTCAGCTGATGTAGTCGGTTTTATTTGTTTTAAAAGTGGGTGTTTTGCTCTTTGCCAGCGGAGATGTTGTTGTTGTTGTTGTTGTTGTTTAGTCATTGTGATCAAATATGTATCCGGTACCGAGTCTGGCTGGTTGTTAGAACACTGAACACATTCAGCTACGTCTGTCTGAGGCTGTTTGACAAAAAAACTGAACATCAGCTCAGGAATCTCGTGTTTTCTGCAGCAGCTCTTCGATAGAAAGGATTGAAGTCGGTTAACCTCCAGGGATCGGTTGTTGCTCCGATCACACGTGGAGGCACTTTGAGTCGTAGACGGTTAGACGTCGACCTGCTGAAGATGTGAAGCTCCACTTTGCTTAAGGAAAGAGAAAACAGCTCTGCTCAAAGGTAGAAAACCTGCCTCTGAAGCTCCCGAGTTAACAAGTCACAAAAAGTTTGATTAAGGCATCCAAAAGCCAGGAATCGTGTTCGTACGGGGGATCGTGTGCTGGACTGTTTCCTGGCTGGGAGCTTCCTGGAGTTTCTGCCGGTTGCCTGGCAACATGGCGCTGTCGCCTTTGGTGTGATTTCTTTGTAAATACGGTGTTATCCTAATCTGGCTTCGTGTTTGATCCGCCGCACGATGCATGAAAGGTAGCGGCGGCGGCGGCGGCGTCATCGTCATCGCTGCCGCTGACTGGTGAGAGGTTTTAACGTCTGCCTGCTGCTTCTGGTGAATCACATGTGAGAATGAAAGTCAGTGTGCAAGAAATAAAAGAGATTTTAGTGCTTCAAACAACAACAAAAACGATAAGTGTTCAATCAAAACCTACACTGTACAAAAAGAAATAAAAAAATCTTATAGAAATACATTAAATTCCCACAATTAGGATAAATTTTTACATGAAATCACGTCTATTTTATGGCCTTTTTTCATTTAATAAAATATATTTACATGTGAACAAACTATATATTATCCATAATTGTTCTGTTAAAAAATGATCGACCCCAGTGAGGATTAAGCGGTGTATAGATAATGGATGGATGGATAATGATTGATAGGTAGATTTTATATGCACATATAATGAGAAAAATATCTATTTTTTAACAGATTATCAGTGCCTGTAGATATTATACACGTCAGAAACACATTCATGCAATGTTTTTGTTCTGATAACTATAATTAAACAAAATACCCCTCATTTATCAAACAACTTTCTGTAAAATAGCAGAACTACTTGGTATTTTTCAGTTATTTGTCCTTGAATATATATAATTATTTTGTGTAATATTAAACTTGAGTTAAACAGTTTGATCGTTTGAATAAAAAGGTAATATTTGTTAAATTGCAAATGTATCTTTAAAGCTGTTCTGTGTTCAAAAAAATTAAAGTTTTTAAAAATAACTTCACAGCTACAGGTTTTTAGTGTCATTTTGTCTTAAACATGTTGATTTATTTTGCAGTTTTAAGGAAATGTTCTCATTAAACTATTATGAAATCAACATTTTGAAAAAAATCTGGACAATCTAAACCTTCTTCTAATCTGTTTTCAGCCAAATCTGTCTGTGAACCTGTTCACAGGTGTGTGTTTTTGTGGACTCGTGTGGTTTTTAATGATGGATCCTCTTCTTCTTGCAGCGGGGAGCAGCATGAGCGACTCTCCCTGAATGTTGACCTGATTTTTCCTGTACTTTACTTGCATGAACCTCTGTGCACTGGCAAACGGGGGGCTTTCATCTTTTAGTTTTGGGCTTTGAATGCTAACCTCCCTTTCTGTTTTTTTTTTCTTCCCTCCTCCTCCTCCGCCTGTACCGCTCTCCCACCTGCCCTCCTCCTCCAACACAGGAGCTGCACAGGACATAGGTAAGACCTCCCCCTCGCCTCCTCCGCTCCTCCCCACCACATCCTCTCGCCACGCTTCAGCCATGCTTCCTCTCAGCGCTCATCGCTCTCTCACATTTACATTTCTCTCTCCGATCGCCTCAGTCCATTTCATTCAGATCTCATGCAGCCGTAGCTTCAGACCCGATAACGCAACGATCTGAAGAGTTTTAGTCCAAAACAAGACGGGATTTTGTCAAAACCTTTGTGATAAATATTAAACGAGTTTCTAGTCACACAGCTGCTTTGCATTCCATCGTAATTAACACATTAAGGTTTCATTCTCCATGTTTTAATGTGCCTTCAATAAGCACATAAACTGAAATACTGACACGAGAAGTTCTGTTGTAGAGACAAAAGGAAGTCGTGGATTTATTTTATATTAATTGTCCTCCACGTGATTGAACTGTGACATAAATCCTGTAAAAAAGAACAAAAAATCTGGTCAATACCAATAAAAAAACCCAGAAGTAAGAGATGTTAGATGCTGTTTTAGAGCATCTGGTCTTTGCTTGTGGCCTGTAGTTGATCCACCAGCAAAAACACGTCCATGTGTTCTAGCATGTCTGGACTACTAGTGGTAGTATTAGTTATAGTAGTACTGTTAGTAGTACTAGTAGTAGTTCTTCTAATGCACTGTTGACAAACCTCATGTATGCTGACCTTGTCTTGGAACACCTGTACGATTTAATGCAATCCAGTGTTGCACAAATCCCACATTTAGGAAGATTATTCCAGTTTTTGCTGACACTGTTGGACAAGTGTTCACTGAGCTCTATGTCTGTGTTTAACTGGATTTCAGAATTAATTTCTTATTTTTAGTCCCACAAAAGTTGTCTCTGTACAACGAAGCGCTCAGATATGTTTTGAGGAAACTGCGTTTTCTCCCAGATTACATTTGTGACGTATCACGGGTGCATTTCGAATAATAATATCGTAAATAATGATTAATTTATTTATATGGCAGCTTTAGAAAATGCAGAGTTTACAAAGTGCTTTGACAGACAAGCAAAGAAAGACGATGTTACAGAAGAAAGACAGGCCAAAGAGAAAGCAAGAAAAGAAAAAAACAAACACAGTGAAATTTACAAACAGATTTTCTATATGAATGAATTAATGAGCAATTAGTGCAAATAACCAAACGAAGCGTCAAAAACGCTGCGGCACAGAATAGACGTAAAGAGACGACGTCACATTAAAGCAAATCGATTTTAAAATGTGATTTATGACATTGATTTACTGATTTAAGCGTCACTCTCAGGCCGTGAACCGGTTCATCCGGGGTCAACGCTCCCGTTACCGAGCCCGGGGCCGGACCCGGGGCCGGACGAGAGTCAAACGTGATCAATAAAATCTTTAAATCAATTCCAAAACGGACAGGCAGCCAGTGGAGGGAAGCCAGGACGGAGGTGATGTGATGCCGTCGGTGCATCCTTTCTATTTATTTTATTGCTTCGCTGATGCTCCTTTTCCAGCAGCCAATCATACGCTGAATGGGGCTCATCATCCGTCGCCATGGTAACCCAGAACATGGAGGCGAAGCTTCAAACATGCAGTGAAAGAATCTACCGAGTAGTTTTAGTGCCTCAACAGTGAGTGAAAGCTGAAACTAAACCAGTGTAACAAGTGACAGGGTGACTCTTTCAAACTAAAAGCCTGTCCTACACGTCACAGTTTTCAAAATAAAATCACATTTCTTTTAAAAAATGTAAGGAAATTACAGTTTAGTTATATTTTAATTTTGTGGTTTGGTTTGTAAATGTCATCCAGAAAACATCAGAAACAGCTTCAACGTTAAGGCTGTGAAGCTCAAACTACATCCTTTATAATAAATCTACAGTAAAATCAGCACCTCTCTGACAACGTCAATCAAACCCGAACGTTGTTTCTTTGTAATAATAATAATAATAGTTCATTTTATTTGTATAGCGCTTTTCAAGAACTCAAAGACGCTTCACAGGATAAAAGCAAAGCAATAAAAGCATTAAACAACAAGCAATAAATACAAAGGTAGACAATATAGAAATACAGCAAGCAGGTGAAAAAATAAAAAATAAAAAAACAAAAAACAATAAACGTGGATTTTAGGATTTTTGCACTGCTTCAGATTTTAGAGGCTCACCCGACAAAGTGGCCTGTGTTGGTGGATGAAGCTAATTAAAGCTGCGTTTTAAGCAACGTGAGGAAAAATCAGCCTCATCCGATAATTTAATTCAGATAATTCAAGTGCCATGGAGGTGAATTAGGATCTCAAACACGTTTCTGCCTTTTTGAACAATAACATCCCATCACCATGTGGCTAAAGCAGTTGTTATTAAGCGCTACTGAATGAATGAATGTTATGCGCTAAGGCACGTCTGCAGGGACGAGTTGGGAAGGTTGAACGTCATTAGGAGGCTTCGTCTGTTCCATCATTCGGCTTTCTTTGACATTTTAACGTCCACGCTAACATCGTTTATTGCAATAAATCTGCAGCGACTGTGTGGACGCACGGTGTGTATCTTCAGTTTGGTGGCCTGACCGTCAGAGCGTAGAAGCTGCTCACTGGAAAATCCTCCAGCTGGTGCCCCGAGTTCGACTCGACAAGACACGAGGACACGAGGATGGCCGCTAATCTATTAACGCTTCCATATATATATAAATATATCGGTTCCTACGCAGCTATCATTGAGGTTTAGCGCAAAAAAAAAGAAAGAAAGAAAGATAGCCACCTTTCCAAGAAGCGTGCTGTAAATCAAGTCATGACGCCTCTCCAAATGCCTTCACTCCCCCTCTCCCCTGTCTCTCCTCTACCGAGCCTTTTAATCCAATTAGCAGTGCCAGCGACAGTTATTTATATGTACATGAATTAGAATTGAAGAGCAAGAGATCCTCCCTTGGGGCTGATTGGATGGAGCCCAGTCCTTCACAGGCCCGTCCTCGGTCACAAACCCGCCGTCGCTTCTTCTGCAGCCGATCAACCAACAAAAGCGGCGATCTGGCGTTGACAGCCGTCGTCATCTCCTCCTTTTGACTTTGATGTGAAAACCAAATCACTTCTTCTTCTTTTTTTTCTTTCCTCACATCCTCGGCGGTGAAATACTTGTTGTTTCATCTTCTCAATGTTTTCTAAAACCGTCACAATTAAAGAAATATTTGACACATTCAAATTGGGACGCTCTAATAAGCTGTCTTCAGGTTCATCTCAGATCTGTGTTCCTGTTGCATTGCGTTGCGTGGACTGAAATAGTGGGTGTGCCAAATGAGTGTGTAAGCTGCCAAATCTGGCTCGCTTACCCTTTTGAACTATTTGCCAATGATTGCAGTACTTCAGAGGGTTAGGAAAAGTCGTGTCGCACTGCTGCCAGCGCACCCATTTGAAGGTTTTAAGGGTTTTAACAATATGCTTGAAATACATTTGTGGAAAATCTGACAAAAAAAATAAAAAATGTTGGATTCATCGCTGACGGCAGCTTCCGTCCAGTCAAACAGACTTTTAATGTTTACAGTTTGTTAATCGGCACAGTTGTTAGCCTGCAAAGTCACTTTAGCGTTTCATTTGTAAAATTATACACTTATGGTTAGTTATGAGTCAATTAAAGAACTCGATAAATGTTCCAGATGGCTTCTTTTGGCTCCAATAAATGGAAATCAACTCTAGAACTGCATTAGCTTTTGATTACTCTTTATTTATTTTTCACTTTGGAACAAGTGCTCCTCTTCTGTGCCAAACGTTTTTCCAAGTTTACAATAAATCAAAGTGAAATAAAATGTAATAGGAGCAAAAAAAAAAGACGGAGAACACAAGCCAACAAGGGGCAGACAACAAAGACGGCAGACTTCCGTGGCCTGGATTTACTTTAAAGTCGCTCTTCAGTCGTTAATTAGTCCCATAAAAACGCATCTGTTATCAGAATTACAGAAAAACAGCTCAGATAGAAGTCTTCCTCTGAAACGTACAGATCTAAACTTCTCTCTCCAGCCTCTCCTCTGCACTCGCTGCAGCTCAAGCACACCAGCTTACCTTCAGCTCGTATTTCATCCATATGTGTTTGAGCTAAAAAAGGATTCTGAAGAAGAATAACGGCACAAAATCTGCAGGTTTACAGAATTGGTTCTTGAGGTTTATTTCATATGAAACCCAGGAAGTCATTTCCTGCCTCAAAGAGTAAGTCTTAAAGAATGCTGAGCCAGTCTTTTAGATGTTAGCCGATCATTCTTCGTCGTGTCCACCACTAGAAACACCAACAGCCACCTCAGGGCAGCAACTTTTGACTGAAACCACTGAAACCGAAAGTTGTGCAGAGAAGTTTCGATGGTGCTCTGCTGGTTTTTCTTTGATGGATTCTAATGACGATACTCGTCTCTCTGCGTGCAAACGTTCCACCACTACTCCAGCCGTCGTTACTTTGACAGTTTCACCCCAACAGTGGTGCGACGTTGTGGTGCGGCCAGATGAATATCTACTAGAGAATGGGCTGGAAAGCCAGACTGGGCTACCAGAGGAACAGCACCAGACACATCCAGTAAATGGTTGGACCAACAAGTGGAGCTGCTTTGGAAAAGTGATAATATGCTGGCTAACATATTGATCACTACACGGAATATGCTAATCACTGATCAGGTCTTCTGAGGAGGTTCGGTCTGCAGTAAGCTTTGGACCCAGCTGTGCCCGGCTTTGTTCAGTGGACTGTAGATGTAGTCCTCCATCCTCCTCAAACTCATGAGCCCTCATTTATGTTCCCACAGATCTTTACTTTAAATGTTCCAGTGCCTGTACTCGATCAGACACAGTCTCCACAAAATGACGTTCCCATAAGACTAAACTACATTCTCAGTTAGCAAACCTATTTGGAAAGACAAGAGCAGAGCTTTAAACATGCAGTGAAAGGGTTGCATCTGATGCCAGAAGTTAACCAACATGTCTCACAAAGCGTCATGTTCTCCTAAACATGTGGTCCCTGAAACGAACCAGAAAGCAAGTCGGAACCTGGAGTAAACAA